ATATATATATATATATTATTGTATTGGACATGTGTTGGGCGTGTATAAGGTGCGGCTGTTACGCGTATAAATAAAAGGGTTGTTTCGTCGTTGTACGACCTTTGAACTGCTCTCATTTTCCCTTGCTTTACTTTTTTTGTTTTGGTATAGACCTTCGGATTTTTGTATGGCGAATCCCTGATTTTCTCGTTTTGGGAATCCGACTTTGACTGGACCGAGGGGGTCTCGTTGTGTGAGTCCGAATGGAGTTTTTTCGGGTTTGCACATTTGGGCGAGATTGACTTTTGATTTGTCGCTTTAGGCGGAGTCATCTTCGATTCAAACGAGTTTGAACTCGGGTTCGTCATTTCGGACGAAGTCGGCTTCAACTCATTCGAGGGGGATTGAATTCACTTGCCGATTCAGGCGAAGTTGGCATTTTCATATGTATTCGAGCGAGGTCGAACTTGGAACTTGGAGCGAAGTTAATTTCTGACTTGTTTGGACAAGTTCGTAAAACAAAGACTTTTGTTTGACGATAATCGGCAGCCGTAAATGCGTTATTTTGGGCTAAGGTCGAAATGCTAACCCGTTGTGATTCGAGCGAGGTCGAATTCTTCTGTTGGCGATGGCCCTTGGCCATAGGGGTGTTATTTCGAGCTAAGGTCGAAATGTTAGCCCGTGGTAATCCGAGCGAGGTCGAATCCTTCTTTTGGCGATGGCCCTTGGCCGTAGGGGTGTTATTTCGAGCTAAGGTCGAAATATTAGCCCGTGGTAATTCGAGCGAGGTCAAATTCTTCTTTTGGCGATGGCCCTTGGCCTTAGGGGTGTTATTTCGAGCTAAGGTCAAAATGTTAACTCGTTGCGATTCGAGCGAGGTCGAATTCTTCTTTTAGCAATGGCCCTTGGCCGTATGGGTGTTATTTCGAGCTAAGGTCGAAATGTTAGCCTGTTGTGTCTGTCAGATTTTGGAGGATTTCACAGATCACCATACTGTTTATACGTACATCGAAATAAATCCTGGCGCACTCGATTTTGTTTTTACTGGAGAATATTGGGTGTTCCCTGAGGGAGCCCCAGTTTTGCTTAGCCTCTGCGTTTCCTGGTTGAGTTCCAGTTTGCTTAACTTTGCTTGCATTGGAGAATACGATGCATTTCTTGGGTGAGTCCCAGTTTGCTTAATTTTGTTTGCGTTGTAGAGTACGATTCATTTCCCGGGTAAGTCCCATTTTGCTTAGTTTTGTTTGCGTTGTAGACTATGATGCATTTCCTAGGTGAGTCCCAGTTTGCTTAGTTTTGCTTGCGTTGTAGACTACCTTGATGGGGAGTACAAAATGTTGCTCTGTTTCAGCCATTGGAGAATGCTATACATGTTCGTTTCGTACTCATATTGGAGGAGTTTCCATGTATCTAGTCCCTTCATTGCCCGCTCTGGGAAAGTAGTCGGCAGGCGGGGTGATGAACCGTACTTATACGTCAAGACGCCCCTTTCGTCGCCTTGTTAGAAATCTTCCCGAGAGGACCCAGCTGGGATGAGATCCGGGCGAAGGAGAAAGGGTGCGACTTGATGAGTATCCTTTCTCAGGGGTTGCAGTGTTGAAATGGTGCCTGACATTCCAATTATTTTGTAGTAACTTTCCTTCCATCATCGCTGGTTTAAATGCCCCTTTGCTCGCTTGCCCCTGCAAGTGCCCGCATTCCTGCCTACACCAATCAATAGAGGATAAACCAAAATGAAATTTTTTGTACCTCGATCCAACGGGTCAGCGAAAAAAAATGGCATTGTCGTGTTACTTGCTCTGCCTGGTTTTAGATTTGACGGTCGTGTTCAGCTCCGCCTATAATAGCGTCTGTGCTTCGCGCGGGTTGGGCCCACCTCACTTGCTGAAGTGTTGAAATCGAGTCCCGGTCCGATCTCGTTTGATTTGTACCCACAACAAGGGAAACATGTCATACCCCGTTTACGGATCATCCGATGCGTGGGGGAATATGAAAGTAGGGCAGAATGTGCCCATTCCTTCAAAAGACCGCGCAGCAAGCTGTCGTCCTCTCATAAAGGGTGGGAATATGGGTTAATATATATGAGGAAAATGCGTCGAATGGGGGTGTGGTCACGTCAGATGACCATGATCCTTTTTTGAACGTATGTATGCCGTGCCAACCCTATCGCTACTGGCGAGATATGGGTTTTGCATAGATGGTTATAACTTCTACTTTTATGTCGCAGCCTGACCTAGATTAGTATTGTTGTCTTGAAGGTTTTTTTATCGCTCTTTTGAGTGGGTGGTGGCGTTTCGCCGGTTCTAGATCTGAAGGAAACTAAGAAATTTGGCTAAGAAATCTCCACAGACGGCGCCAAATTGTTTGAGCAAAAAGTATAAAATCCTTTTTGTCAAACTAATTACTAATATAATAGAAGGTAAATCTTAGTCAAACATAACTAAATTCAGATCTAAACATACAGAATGTAAGAATAAAGGAAAGTATAATAGCGGGTAATGTTTCTTCATATAACAGTTACACGTCAATTAAGTGCGGTTAGCTTATATCTGGGGCAGTCTTGCCTCATGAGAGCAATGAATGGAAAGAGAAGAGAATATTGATGATGAAGAGTTTCTCCTTGTTATCTCCTTTATGGAGGCTCCTTTTTCCCCCCTCCCAAAAGATCCCCCTTTTGGGTTTAGCTAGTCCTATTTATATTAATAACTTCCCTATTTGTCCAATGGTCTTTGACCAACATCCTTTCTCGTCGTTGTGCCTTCTATCTTTTGCTTGACCACTACGTTTGTTCTGCGACGTAAGTTTTAAGTTTTCCTATGATTCGGCCCTGACGATGGCCGAGGTGCTCTTTGTCATCTTGCCGTGTTGGCACGACTGTTATTTGGTCGACCCCATGTCGTTCCACTTAGGGACGATTAACCCATGGTCAGATTTTGACCCATACAAATAAGGAAAAATAAGTGATAAAACCACTCATTTTCCATGAAAACATTTTCTAGAAAAATATTTTTTCTGAAAAACATTTTCCTTCGTTCCAAACACACTCTAAATATCAGGAAGAGCAAATTGATCAAGATATAATTAGTCTGCATTACACAAAAAGTGAAATAAGGAGGCAAACATAATACTACTACATGGGATGTTAATGTTGTCAAACCTAATCTGAAGGAAGGTTTTTAAAATTATTCCTAATTAATAAAATATATATATTATCTCCTTTCATGGTCACGTTAATAAAATTGTAACAACCTTTTTCAAGTTTTTTAATTAGTACGAAATGTTATTATTATTATTATTTTGTTTAGTGACATAGGATGATAAGATCATAAGAATGCATCTAATATTCTTTATTATTATATCAAATTCTAAGTTACAATTAATTTTAGTTCTCCAACAAATTAAAGGTTTTCTTTACCACATAAAATCACCATGCATATGGTTAATATAAATATGATTTAGTATTTGAATTGCACTTCAAAAACATAACTTTTACATTTTGATCTCATTGTGGGATACAATATTCCGTTCATTTATACGATATTTATCATAAAAAATGTTTTATTATAAATTGGCGTTTATCCAATCCCTTAAATGAATATATGCTACATTGGCTAGTCAAGTTGATGGCTGAACTAAGTTTGGAATTTTACAGAAAAAAAATTCTTATATTTATTGGATAAAGACCATGCAAATTACTCTCAGATGCTCCTTCAAGTGAAATGGAGGACGGAGGTAGTCTACCTAGTTAAAATTTGGGCTTTTTCCAATTTTAACCCGTGGCAAAAATTATTTATGTTTGGTAGTCAAAAAAGGGGGCATTTGCATCTATACTCGCTTTTTGTGCCACATTTTAACCTGTGCCCGCTTTGCAAAAAAAATTGCAAGCGTACCCGCTTTTTCACATAACTTCAGCACACGGGGCTGAAGTAGCAAAGGCAATTACACAAAACTTCAGCATTTTAGTAGCCGGGCCTGAAGTTCAGCTCTAGAGCTGAAGTTTTTTTTTTTTAAACTTCGCGAACTTTCAGCTCTAGAGCTGAAGTTTGCCAGTTATAAAATAAAAACTTCAGCTCTAGAGCTGAAGTTTTTGTTTAGTAACCCGAAAATTTCAGCTCTAGAGCTGAAGTTTGCTAGTTATAAAATAAAAACTTCAGCTCTAGAGCTGAAGTTTTTGTTTAGTAAGAGCTGAAGTTTCCCAGTTATAAAGGGAAGCTGAAGTTTTTTAAAAAGTGGGTACGGATGCAAACAAAAAGACAAAGCGGCTACAGGTTAAAAAGGGGCGCCCAAATAGGGCGCCCCGTGCAATTTTTACTCAAAAAAGTATATAAAATTTTTACAATTTTTGTTTATAACAAACAGAATGTGTATATATATATATATATATATATATATATATATATATATATATTATTTTGAGAGCGGCTATACAATGTCATTTTCCCTTAAAACTTACTCGCGTTCAATATTCACCTCAACCAAATGAATATAAAACAAGTGTTTGTCATATATATCACTTAATTATAGTTAAATGATTTTTGTTTTTGTTTTTATTATTAAGATTAAATTGCTTAATCTAACGTAAACGGGAGGATACTTACTGTGTACCCACGCCATTGACCTAGCTACAAAAAGGGGCAGTCGGCCCGATGCATTAAGCTCCCGCTATTCGCGGGGTCCGAGGAAGAGCCGGACCATATGTGTTTATCGTACGTAATCTTACCCTATATTTCTGCGAAAGGCTGTTTCCACGGCTCGAACCCATGACCTCCTAGCCACATGACAGCAACTTTACCAATTATGTCAAGTCCCTTCGCCATTGACCTGGCTAAATTCAACAATATTTGCAGCTTGATTTTCATTTTGCATAGACAAAAGTTATGTGGCTGAAATCTACGGTGATAAGTCTAAAGTCCATAACCACACACGTGTCATACAATGAGTGGTCAGTACAAGCCACATGCATGGCAGAATCTGGAACTGATAATGTTTTTACAATTTCCTACCTACGTACATAATGCAAATACAAAGAACTCCTTTACATACAAAAACTCATTTCTCTTTTTCAGTTCAATTCTTTCTTCAATGGCTATTGCCAAATCTTCAGATTGGTCATTTCCACCTTGCATTAACTGTAAAAACAGAATCTTGAAACCAAAAATATGCTATTCTTGTAAAACTTTACCTTTCCTCTCAAATATTTACTTTAATTCAAGAACTCTGGTTGCTAAATCCTCTAGCTGTTCATCTCCTGTCTTAGAAGAAAAAAGCCAAAAATCACCCTCAAAAAATTCCAAAATAATAGAATTGGACTTGGAACTTCAAGATTATAGTACTACTACTTCTACTTGTTTGACTGATTCCAAGGATTTCAATGGTTTAATATGCAGTTTACTTAAGGATCCTCAAACTCAAGGAATTGGATATGATTACTATGAAAAAGCCAAGGAAAATACAGATTTTAGACCTGAAAAATCAACACTAAAGCTTCTTATCAGGTATTTGGTGTATTCAAACAAATGGGGTTCAATTATTTCATTGTGTGAAGATTTGAGAAGTTCTCAAGTTTTGCCTGATAGTTCAACATGTTGTAAATTGATTACTAGCTGCATAAAAGCAAGAAAATTCAAGATTGTAAATAGTTTGCTTGAAGTGTTTATACTTTATGATCAAGAACTTTCTGTTTTGGCCTTTGATTCTGCTGTGAAAGGTTACAATAAGTTGCATATGTATAGCAGTAGTGTTGTTTTGTATGAAAGAATGAGATCTGCTGGACTTGTATTAGACTCTGGTTGTTACTGTAGTATAATGGAAGCACATTTAAAAATGGGGCATTGTGACAAAGTTGTGGCACTTTTTCAAGAATTTGAGAGCAAGAAAGTAGTGTCCACACCTTATTATGCACAAATTTACAAGAATCTGTGTGAGTCATTAGGGAAATCGGGGCGCGCTTTTGAGGCTTTGGAGTACTTTAGAGACATGAACAAGAAGGGAATTCAAGAGGATCATTCATTTTATTCCATACTTATATGTGGATTCGCGAGCATTCGTGAAGTGAAAATGGCTGAAGAACTTTTAGAAGAAGCTGAAGGCAAGAGAATGTTGAGGGATCCAGCTTTGTTCTTGAAACTAGTATTGATGTATATTGAAGAGGGGTTGATGGAAAAGACTCTTGATGTTGTTGCAGTGATGGCTCGGGTAAAAATCCGAGTCTCTGATTGCATATTTTGTGCAATAGTGAATGGCTTTTCAAGAAAAAGAGGTCTGAAATCTGCAGTTAAAGTGTATGAAGATCTTTGTTCACAAGGCTGTGAACCAGGTCAAGTGACATATGCTTCAGTATTGAACTTATATTGTAGGCTTGGTTTGTATTCTAATGCAGAAATGGTATTTTCTGAGATGGAGCAAAAGGGATTTGATAAATGTGTAGTGGCTTATTCTAGCATGATTGCAATGTATGGAAAAACAGGAAGACCTAAAGATGCAATGAAACTTGTTGCAAAAATGAAAGAAAGAGGATGTCAACCAAATGTATGGGTATACAATTCTCTTTTGGACATTCATGGAAAAGTTCTAAACTTAAGGCAAGTGGAAAAAATATGGAAGGAGATGAAGAGAAGGAAAATTTTTCCAGATAGGGTAAGTTACACAAGCATTATAAGTGCTTATAGCAGGGCAAGGGAATTTGACAAGTGCTTGACATATTATCAAGAATTTACACTAAACGGCGGAAGAATTGATAGGGCAATGGCTGGGATTATGGTTGGTGTTTTCTCTAAAATGAATAGAGTTGATGAGTTGATTGGTCTTTTGCAAAATATGAAGAGAGAAGGCACAAAGTTAGATGGGAGACTTCATAGGTCAGCTTTGAATTCTCTGAGGGATGCAGGGCTGCAAATTCAAGCAAAATGGATGCAAGAAAGTTTTGGTGCAACATGAGTTGTTTTCCCTTTGTAGATACCAACTGTATGGTGTATTATATAAAGTGATTTGACAATGGAAAAACTACATTGTGTTGGTGCAAGAACTAACAAAGATTTGCTCATTTTAAAGTATTGAGTCACTCCTCAAACTGTAGAATTACTTGTTGAATATTGACCTCATATTCATAGTATATATCTGATCAAGCTTTGGAAACAATATTCCATTGTCACCAGCAACCATGTATAGGTGGGGGTGGGGGGGTTCGCTATTTATAGTACTCTTCATGTGATTTCCTGATATGTAAAGTAATTCTTGTAGTTGAGCAACAAGTATCCATGAAACAAGAATCCTGCAAAATCCTGCATCCATATACTTGTTAAATTTTCTTTATTGACTGAATTCCATATTTCCTTGACTATTTGCTTCTGAAAAGGTTTGTTGATTAAGTCATTTCAATTTCGATAATAGAACATTACATTCCAGTTATTCACAGGCCCTTTTGGTTCTATTTCACAGAAGGGCTAACTGATCAGCGGGTATTATCACTTTTAGCCCGCGCCAGAAACTATTTACATTCGTTGGTCGAAAAAGTGTATAAAATTGTATATAACATACAAAATGTAAAAATATACATTTTTTCGGCTATTATGAAAGCGGCTATACAGTGTCATTTTCCCGTATTTTTTCACAACAGAGAAACTAGAAAAGAAAGTCAAAAGATTATTCTTCCTCTATCATCATTCTGCTTTGTTAATTTTTATACTCCAAAGCATAAAACAGTTATATTTAGCACTGAATTCATGCAGTGAACTCTGCAATCCCTCTGAAATTACGAGTGTTATGAGTGGTGACATGTTATCTACATACAAACCACAACACCAGATTAATGAATCCTAAACTGTTACTTCCTGCAGATAAATTAGAATTCAAGAAGTCCAAATGACACATAGATGACCATGAGTGAATGCAAATTGCAAAATTTTGAGGGTATATTAGAGCAGTGTTGTCAATATACATAGCAAAGGAGGTCGACCACGTTTTTTACCTGGAGGCATAAATATATGTAAAAAAACACATTAAAATCTCAATAAATATGAAATTCTGAACCCATAATTGCAAATATGCAATGAATTCAGCGGTGAGGACCAAAAAAACTCATCCTCTCTAGTTTAAATTTTGGATCCGCCTTTGAAGGAGGTTTAAAATTTTCAATGAGCGCCCTTAAATACTGTAAGCCATACTACCACTACCATAATCGCTATATGTTTATCATCTTCTCCTATAGCCCTTTTTTTCGTTCATCAAATCATTGCTCAAATTTGTCCACTTGAAGAAACCTGCATATTGATGGTTTCCAATGTTTGAGAAGAAGGCCATTCTCAATGAACCAAACAGAAAAGTTTAAATTACTAACTGAGACATGAATTTGGAACAAGTTATGCTATAGCTCAAAATCCAATGATAATTGTCAGGGATTCACCTCAACTGCCAAACTGATTAAAGAAAAGCTATCTTTGCAGAAATAACTTGATAAATTCATAAGGCTATTGATACTACGCTATTAGAGTATGCATCATTTGACATTGTCAACTTGTCACCAAATATGACATGGGAGAACATTTGAAGTTCAAACTTACATAATACTTGTAGGAAGGCTATTTTAAGTTATTAGAAAACACTGAACAAATTAACCACCACCAAGAAGTTTGCATCCTCGCAAGCTCTCACATGAAAAATGTACAAGATGACGTCAAATAATTCTGACTTCTTATGATACCGTCGTGCCAGTGAGTTCAAGTTGGGCTACTGCCTCGTTGATCGCATCGATGATGTTCATTTTACCCCTGCTAACTGCCTCGTCGATAGGAGTCCTCTCATGGCTAAAATGACAGCACAATGAACTCAGCAAAGAGAGGAAATCACAAGCAAAAGCTTATTTGATCTGAAAATCTGTTAGCGCTTTAAGTTAGAAATACATCACCTATTTAAGGCTGAGACACTTGCTCCAGCAAGGATTAAGCTCTTCACCACCTAACAAGACATCATATAAATTAAGGGATGCTAGGGACTTATAATCCAAGAGTAATGCAAAAGTCACCTCAATATGTCCGTTTAAGCAAGCCCAATGAAGAGGTGTATTTTTCTCCATATTGGAAGCATTGACATCCTGCTACCAAAAATTAGATTAATCATGTTTCATCACTCAATTGTATCGAAACATATCAAAGAAGAAGATAAGTTGAAGCTCCGCTCCAAAGAGACTATTTCAATACTCAGAATAGTCCCCAATGTCTGGCTCAAATTTAAAAAACTAAATCATGCCCAATGAGAAATGCAGTCAAGTGACATAAGTTTTGTCAATGATGCAATTCCTACATACGGAGAACAATGATTATTCATTAAAGATCGATACCACTAAATCAGATCAACAAGAATGTAACAAGTAGACATGTTCAGCTATTTAACGTAATAATACAAATAAGTAGCCCTGTCCACTCACCGCTCCATTACGAATAAGATATTCTACAATGCCACAGTGCCCATTTGCCGAAGCCATATGAAGTGCTGCAAAAATTAAATAGCCAAAGCAAGTAGTTAGTTCAGCAAGTCATATAAGAAACCTATTAGTTCTGGAAAAGAAACCTTAGGACTTCAGGTACGGGAAGAAACTCTACTCGACTTATTGTCAAAAAAAAAAAAAAAAGAAACTCTACTCGACCACATTAAAATTCTCCATATTACTAATCAATTAGTTCTGGAAAAATATGTAGTTCAAGACTTAGGACCTTAGGTTTGGTAGATATTCAATCAACCAGAACACAAGGTGTGGCCTAGCTATCAATGAGTGGGTAAGAACTAAGGATAGTTAGGTTTTCAAATCACAACAAAGACAACAAAAAACTCCTAGTGCTTTCTTTTCAACAGTCTAAACCTTGAGGGGTAGAGTTACCTGGTATCTTGGTTGTGAGAGGTAGTAGGTACCCAGTAGAATAGTCGAGCTATGCACAAGCTGGCCCGAATACCACTATTATTTTAAAAAGTTAAGTCAATTGTTAAGTGATCCCAATCGGTTTTATGTACTTGATTTCCTTATATGATCTTGGGCATTACTCACTTTATGAGCTAGCTTTTGGAGATTGAATTATGCCCAGGTTGACTTCTTATCATGATATAAGGCCCATCCCAATTCTTGATTTACCCGATGTTGGACCCACATATTATGTTGTTCACGCTCCAGGCGTGCAAGGGGATAGGTGATTTTAAGTTATCCGACATGATTGTGGGAATATGAACTTTGTGTCCTTGTATAATTTTAGGAAATTCTCTCCTCATGAGCTAGCTTTTGAGGTTGAGTTAGGCCCAAGGTTCATTTCTTATATCAACCAAATTGAATTTCTTTATTTGGAACTCATCTTCTATTGAATTAGACAGCTTGTAAAAATATAATGTTAAGCTAATTTATAAAAGTTGGCGAGCCCATATGAGATTCGGAATATGAATGTAATTGCTACTCAAAGGGGTGGGATCTCAAAATTCAAAATCTAATAAGTTAGGGGCTTAAACTTGGTCAGAAGTTAAACCAGCTGGTTATTGGTCTTTTGGCTTACAACAATCAAGGAAACATGATCTTGCAACATGGAATTCCAGTTGTTGAACCATTGTGACTATCTTTGTAGTTTGATTGCATCCAATATTACATTTATATCCTATCTATCTTGATGGGGAAGTTCGTAACTTTGAGAAAAGGAAACATCTGAATGGAAAGGTGTCCATAAGTCTGTGAAATTGTTGGAAGCTAATAATTCACATATTTTATTCATGGTATTTAAGAATTACTCCATTCATTGCAGTTTATGTGGCAGCATTTCCTTTTTAGTCTATTTCAAAAAAAATGACAACTTTCTAATGTAAAGGTAATTTCACTTTAAACTTCTCATTTTCCCTTAATGACAAGTTTTTATAACCACACAAATGTTATGTTATGTTCAAAACCGCAAGTTTAAAACTCTTATAGCTACACAAATGTTATTACATCTTTTAGAGCACAAGTTTAAAAGTCTTCCATCTTTTCTTAAGCTCCATAATCAGTCAAACTATACCACATAAATTAAAACGGAGAGAGGATGTAACATCATTACCCTAAATATTTGACTTAGAAAATAAGTTTAAAATATGCTTCGAGTTACGACATATGAATTAAGGACAAAACAATAAAGGGTTGTTTACTGATATTTTCTGAGAGATGAACTTAACTTCATGGTTTCTCCATAATTCTACCAATATAAAAAAGAAACCCAAAAGGAACATGAAAGCTTTTGCTACTTCCAAATAAATGTTTTAAGATGATTCTTCACATGTATGACCAAATAATCACAAGTAGAGTATGATACATGGTTGACTGGTAATTTACCAATTTTTTGAAGTAAAAATGATTTATTTTCTAAGAATTTTTGTTATGTTCAAATTTCTGTTTTGTAGATGACCTGACAATAAAACCAGTTCCCCATTAGCTACAAATTAGAATACATGACTGAATAAAAAACTGCAATAACAGGACTTCCAACTATAACGACCATCTCTGATACTAATAGGACGGAGGTCTAATTAGCAAGAAGCAGCAAAGTCGCTGATTCAGTATATAAGTTTAAAGGAATGCCTTAGCTTATATAAGATGAAAGGAATTCTTTAGCTTATATAAGATAAAAGAATATTACTTTTACAAAGAAGTTCAAACAGCCACATCCCCACCTCCAGACCCTTTTCCTTATCCTATCTTCATGAAACAAGAAAAGCATAACTAAACTCTAAATCTTGGGCTGGTGTGGGGTGGTGATTCCTGATTTTTCTAAGTGCTCCACGTGAGTTCAGCTTTTAGAAGCATGCTCATACGCTTCATATAAGGAGGGAAGAATATTCAAGTTGGCCGATTCCCTTTAAGAATAAATTGCAAAGCAAAACAATTTTGCAAACTTGTCAAGAAGTTCTGGAGAATGTTATCATCTGGAGGATGTCCCAAAACAAACTATCCTCTCTGGAATTGGTCATCTTAAATGGGTTACATTGACTAGCAAGATACTTTAATCAGGTGTTCACCTTCAAATACCACTACAGTTTTTTGGTTTGAATTACTTTATCCAGTCTCCTGCGGATAAATTAAAAACACAACTATGCCCTCGATATTTTACCATAAAACCACCTTTGTCTTCTAGTTACCA